ATGAGAGCAGCGTGTGGAGTAAGCGGGGCGTTGTACTCCATGATACTGTGCGTGAGTGGCTGCTCGTGCTTGTACTCTTGCTTTTATCGGTCAAAGTTAAGGGGACAGTACATGTTGGAGGAGAGGCCGTGCACCGATTGTTGTGTACATTTGTGCTGCGAGAGTTGTGCCCTCTGCCAAGAGTACAGGCAGCTTCAAAACCAAGGCCTTGATTTGTCCATAGGTATTTCATTTCATTTCATTTCAATTTTAGTACAGTAATCTCGAGAGGCCGGATTACATGATGACGTGGACTAGGATTAAAACGACATGGATGGATAAGACTTTGACATGAAAAGATTACAATTTTCCACGTCATCACGCAGGGGCAAAGCCAGCCTCAAATTTCACCGGGGTCGGCAATATTTTTTAGCGGGGTCATTAACCTAGTAAACAGTGTTTGAACAGTATTTTATACTAAAAATTTTGAAATCCAAAAGGGTCAGCTGACCCCAGCCACAAGGTGTGGCTCCGCCACTGTCATCACGTAATCCGACTTCTCGCGATTACTGTACTAAAATTGACGAAAATTGTAACATAGTGGACTATTTTTTTATTAGGGGAATGTTGGTGTACCGAAATTGGACTATGACCAACTTAGATGACCAAAATTGGATTTTTGCCGTATATTATATTATAACTTATAATTTTAGGTAATAATAATATTTCAATATTTTGTGCATCACATAGTTTCCTTTTTTTTTTATTTATTCAAAATAGCAATGAACATCTGAATATAATTGAATGTTAATTTAAGAGTTTGAATTGTATAGGGTGGCATGGGAATATGGAGAGACAAAAAAGAAAAGGTGGAGTGGTGGCTCCATCAATTGAAGAGGGCATGAAGCGGTAGATGAATTTGTGTTTTGTTGATGAATTTGTTCACATGATTATTAGTTATTAGTAAGATCACTATAATATATGTGCATTAGGAGACTAGATATATAATTATGATTATCTATCTTTCAGGTTTAGTTTGTTTAGAGTTTGATCTTTATTATTATTATTATTATTATTATTATTATTATTATTATTATTATTATTTTGTAGTGGAATTTACATATACATGTAATAAATAACTAATATTTATAGTGTATTTTAAACAATATATGACATTTTATTCATATATAAGTTGAACAATTTGATATTGAACATATAGAATAGCTATAATAAATGAAATACAGTTAGGAAGTTAATATATAATAGGGTATAAGAATATGTTGTTGTACAAATTATATCATATACTTCTACATAATATATGTGTATATATATTGTTTACACGTTGATACTACAACATAAATAGCCTTTGCTAACACCATAAAAATGATATCTAATAACCACAAAATGTTATTATAAACAATAGGTAACATATTTTTTTACGTTATAGTTGCCCGCGCTACATTTTGTCTACGGTAACATATAATCTAGCTTTTTGTGACACTTATTTTATATGTTACATTAAATAACCTATTGTATCATTTTCAAGTTACACATTTCAAGTGTTATCTATAACCTTTACGTAACACTTTCTTACTTAACTGCAACATTTTTCCTATAGCAATTTCATTTGAAGTGTCACATTTGTTTTTTTAATTTTGTATCACTTTCATGTCTCTATTGCAACACTTTCAACTTTTTATGTTAACACTTTTCTTTACAATCATACCTATGGTATTACTTTAAATAATTGATAATTAAATATTATTGACAAATAAACTTACAAAAAATTTTATAAATAAATCAATAATCATGTCTACATACACACAAAAAGAAAAAAAAAATCTTTAAAATTCTCATTTCCATCCACATCTAAAACAAAAACATAACATTCTAAACATGGTTAATCGAAATTAGTAAAACGTCTAGACATCTTCCAAATATACATCAAATGCCATCATCCTCATTTGTCAACTCCATTCATTAAATATCATCATCAATATGCCAAGGTAACAATACTAATAGATTATAAATTTGTTGCTTCACCTACACCATCCTCCTTCCTCCTGAAAAAATAAATAAATAAATAAATAAATAAAGAGATTCTTACACACAAACAATCATTAGTAAATTGGGTTTAGTAAATCTAACACTAACGAGATTGAAAAATAAAACAAAGAAACTACATATGCAAATTTATCTCAGAGTAACAACTAAAATATCTTACATATCCCATTTCATCAAACATATGATCAAACCATTAAAACGCTACCAAGAGTATCATATCAAAGATCTTAAATATTTTCATTGCAACGTATAATAAATTGCGAGTGCGCGAAATGTAGTACGAACGTGATCAACAAATGTAAATGCGGAAGCGATAAACCGAAGATTTCAAAAAAACTCTTCAGGGAAGCATCTCACTTCCCCTCAGAACTCTTTCATTGATAAATCGTACAACGATATAGTTTGGACTTACAAGACTCGAACTCCCTTCTAGTCTAGCCACAACTATTCACGATCCTATCAACTATTTCTCTGGCTAAGTCCCGTGAACTTTTTAACCTACACTTAATCCCTAAGTGTAAAACACAAAATAATTTGAGTGAAATTAAGAAAAAAAAACTAAACAACTTCAGTTCTCGGATGTGTAAGAACCTTCGAACTGAACTGTGAACAAAAACTAACTAAACAGAATCTCTATCTAAAGCTTGAATATTGCTCTATATAATAATAATATCAGCAGCCGCAATTGGAGCTTCTCATAGGGTATTTATTCAGTCTCCTTAGGGTTGGAGTCTTTTCCAAGAATGGGACTCCTCAAATGATTTCTTTCCCTAGTCATGCATGTCTCTCCTTTCTTATTTCCACATGTTTCCGATTTTCTACAAGAGAGATACCATAATAAGATCCATGCAATCTTATATATAGAATACAAACTAAACTACGTAAGGAAATAAAATAATACAAAGATCTTCTCTTTTTCTGTAGTTCCAGGTACTTGTTCGAACATGTCTTCAACTATGTGAAATTTTGAACTTTTGCCAAAACAAAATATCTTTCAATCTCCCCCTTTGGCATCTAGTTCGAAAATTCAGCAAGCTTGAAGATTTCTTGAAAAGTACGAGTAACAAACACAGTATAGTGGAACTAAAAATGAGTTAGATCAATCAATCATCGTCCTCCCCCATAGACCCTGCAATCAGATAAAAAAAAAACAAAACCAGATCAAACAAGAAAACTACCATTCATTCATAGTAAGCAACCAACCAGCAAGAGTTCATCAAAACAATCACAACATGTAGCAAATAGCAAATACCATCACATCACAAAAGCAAATGAAATATGAGGTTCTAAATTACATTAGACCTCCCTACATTCCTCAAAAGCACACAAAGAAAGTAACTGCCGACTGTCTGCAGTAGTAGCGTCACCTAGCCAGACGGGGATTCTCCCCCAGACCCATCTTCATCTTCATCAGCAACATGCTTGCTCCTCTCCCCCTTTTTCGAACTACAGGATGCCGAAAGGCTCATCCCCGAGTTCTTGCGCTGCACCCCTTTTACCGCTTGAAGAACTTGACGCAGATAAGCCTGTTGAGCCGCTACCTTCTTGGCCATGTCGTCCCACTCGACTAACTTTTGAACCACAAATTCATCCCACTTGGTGGGAACCAGAGAGGGAGTCAAATCTTTCTTGGAAGCAGACTTCTCATGCAAGGTACGAGCGCTGACAACAAGAGCCTTACCAGACGCTCAAGGGTATCATTATAGCGAGGATTCAAAGAGAAATTCTGAGCAGCAAGGATCAACCAAACCAAATAGGGAAAGTGTAAAGAACGGCGAGACTCGATATTAGAGATGAACGGCTGAAGAATCTCAAAAACAACCTCCCCAAAATTAAATGGCTGACCCACCATCACTCAATAAATAACCTTATTTCGCAACTCAGTGAGCAAGGTCTTATTGGACGTAGGGGTCCAATTCCCTGTGCCAATCTTGTGAAGTAGATTGGCAACAAGACACAGAGTTCACAGGCAAGTTAGAACTGGGCCACGTATCAAGTTGGTTTGCAGTGAGGACTTGGGTCACAACATCTAGGTCAACGTCAGACAAAGAGGGAACATAAGAGGATAATCCGAAATGAGCATTGATTAAGGCAGGGGAGAAATCTATAATCCGGTTGCACAGAAAACGTTTATGAAAACGAGGACTCCTGGGAACAAACCCAGCAGGGGTGAGATTAGCATAAAACTCTCGGACCGCTTGACCACAAAAAGAACCAAGATTCAACACAGATTTAGATAAGCCAACTGACTCAATAAGAGGAAGTACACCAAGGTCAAAAAAAAATTCATCACTAATAGGATGTTCATACCAGAAACCATACGTCTCAAAATGCACAAAACGATCATGAGAAGCCTCGGTATAAAACCTGTTAGTGAAAGCATTTTCAAGGTCGTAGGCGTCATCCTCTGGTTCAGGTGGAACATGGGCCTCATCAATTGTTTCTATGCCTCTGCGGCGAGTGGACCGTCGCACTGGGGCCCTAGGTGGAGGATTCGGTTGATCGGAATGGACTTCAACAAGGGTTGCGGCGGTATCATCTTTTTCACCTTCAGTAGTCGTCGTCTTGGTGGCAGTCTTAGAGGTCGGGATATCTGAGGACTCCCCCTGAGTTGGACCGTGAGGAGTTTCTTCAAACACCGAGAGACCAGGAACTGTAGTGGACAAATGAGAGGGCTTATAGGTTTTGGCGAGGGCATCCGATTTGTTCGGAGAACAAGACGAAGTTGCAGTAGGAGAAGGGGATTTTTTCGGAGACGGAGATTTCGCCGGCGGTGGGGACTCACGCGGGGAACTTGCAGTGATAGAGAGCTGACGACGCTTAGACCTCTTATCCTTGTGTTTCTTGAGCCGCTTTTTCAACTTATCTTTACTCCCAGCCATGGAAATGAAACGATGAAGAAGAGTTGAGAAATTAGGGTTTCAATCGGTGAATGAGAAGAGAGAATTAGATGAGAGAGAAAGTAATTGGAGTGATAATGAGAGAGGAGAAAAGAGGCGTGTGGATTAAAAAGGTTCTGACATAGAAAACTAAAAAAGCAGTTTTCTTGGTTCAAAGAAGAGAGAGAAAAGAGGTTGGGCGGTTTTGGGGAAGTTAAACAGCAACTAATCCCTCCAAATTTAAAATTCAAGCACAACTTAACCTCTCACACAAATAACCTCTCACAATATTTTGAAATTAAGGAAAGAAATCTGATTTTACCTCTAAATATATATACCACACAAAATTTTAGAGCCAAATAATTAAAGTTCAAGAAGGAAACCATATGCAATAATGCCTAAGGATGAAATAAAAGAAAATCGCACACAAGATTCACTAGATCCATAAAATCTTTCCTTTCTCAATTAAAACAAGAATGATGATAACCGACAGAGACCGACTTTGTGAGTCAAACATCCCAAGGAACATACGATAAGCAGATATATGTATATACACAGAGTAGTGCAAACCACAACTTCAATTTTTGCATGAGCACATGCCGTATTATTCATAGTGCGTTTCATTTAGTAACAATCAATGCAATAGTGAAAGTCAACCCCACTACTTTGCACCACGATTTTAAGCAAGGATCTCACATTATATATATATAACACTACGGTTTTTATGAGGGTGACCACCTTATAACTCCGCATGAGAACATCACATAATAATATGCAATGTGTGTCACTAGCTTACGCCATTCTCAACATTTTTTGTCCAAGACGCTCTTTTCACAGTCGATCTCGCATTGGGAAACGAACCATGTGCTAGCTATCACTCTAGATCATTTATGAGAAGGCAACCCTTTTTGACAAGACAAAATAATATTGAAAATAAGTACGTTCCTCGGTATTGCAAGAACACTCAATC